CAACTCCACAAAAAGGATCATTGCAAGAAAACAAGGAACCAATTACTCTGTATAATTCAAAAACATGAAGTGGAATTAATCTTATATTTACTATATAACCATCACACTAGAGCTTATCTTAATATGGACATGGTTTTTGAAAAACTATATGATCAATACTACTGGTTTCAAATGTTTGAGAATGTGAAACATTATATTAATATCTATGAACAATGTCAACAACAAGGCAAATTTAGGACCACTGGACCTTTACACTTAATCACAGTTGATAATTCCTTCTCTAAAATAGATATTGATATTGTGGAATCCCTTCCAATTACAAGCAAGGAAAACAAATATATCATCATTGCAACTAACTATTTTACCAAATGGTCTGAGACTAAAGCAATCTTTTATGCTATAGAACAGTGAGTTGTAGAATTTATTTATCAAATTATTATTTGCAGATATGAATGTTCAAAAACACATACTTTCTGATTATGGAACATATTTTAGAAATGAAATAGTTGAAGCTTTATTGGGAAAAATTTAAATATAATATTATTATTATATTCTATATCACTTATAAATAAATGGACTAATAAAGTGCTTCAATAGAACTCTATATAAATTTCTAGCAAAAATAATTGAGGAAAAGAATAATTGAGATGAATTTATTGCACCAACATTATTTGCTTATCATATATCAAAATAAACTTCTACCAAATTTATCTCTTTCTATCTAATTTATGGCTATAACTCTCAAATGTTCCATATGAAAATGGACGAAATAATGAAAGGAAATATCCAAATCTAACTCTATCAACTGATTAAAATCCTGCTTACTACTCAAGGAACTGCTCAAGAAAATATTCTGAAAGTCTAGAAAACAAAAAAAGAGATTTGACGTAAAGTTGAAAAAGTCATTGAACTTCAAAATTGGGAATAAAGTGTTAGTCTATGATGCTGCCAGGGATAAACACTTTACTGAAAAACTCAAACTAAAAAGGAAAGGATCTTACTTTATCCATGATAACTTGGGAAATGAAGCCTTTAAACTTAGGACTATAAATAAAAAAGTTCTGATTATCTCTTTTAACTTGACCTTACTGAAATCATATATTGACCATGAAAAATATGAACCTATTATATATATTTAAAACTAAAAGGAGAAATATACAATGTAATAGTGATGACCCCTAAGCTCTCATCACTATTACAGCAGGCTCCAAGGCTCTTAGTGATTATTGTATAATACCAAGATGAAGTACTAATAAGTGAACAAGTAAAAATATGAAAAACAAAAACAAAAACCTCAAAGCTCAAATAAGGAAAAAATTCTATTTAAAGGAGCAGGAATAGAAACATTCAACTGAATCAATAAGACACCAAGCCTAGCCACTCTCTGTCACAAGTTTTGATTTTTTAACTCCAATTCTTTGATCCTAGTTGAAGTGAAACTTCTTTAGGCAACTGTTCTACCTTCTCTTCCAACTGATGGATTTTTTCTTGAAGATAAGCCTGGAACCACTCACTATTTATATTTGTCTTTTCAAATATTTGACCTTTTCCTGGTAAGTGATAATAGTTGCTTATAAAGGATTCATTTTTTCTGAACAAGTGAGTCTTTATGCCTTAGCATCTCTGGTTTTTCTTGACATAATAATAAAAGAAATATAAAGAATACTTGACAAATCAAAGAAAATTCTCATATTAAATAAAGAAATATGGATGATTATACCATCTTAACAATTATATAAAGAACCTTATTATTTACTAGTTTGTATCAAAAGGGATTATCATACTTATACAAAAATTATCATAATTATTATTCAGGACCTAATTTTGAAAAATCTTCTAGTCACAATTCCTGAATTTATGCAAGTGACCCCAATACCCTATGATTTACTCCAGCCCATTAAAAATCAGGTCATATAAATATACAGATGTATATAACATACTATTTACATGAAAAACAGAATTCTCTCCTTGATCTATATATATTATCTGAAAGAATTATTGGAAAGAGTTGTTAATCAAGCACAACAATCTTATCTAAACAAACACCTGACTAAATATCATCTTACTGAATGCTGCTGTACTTCTGGTCTCTTTGAAAGGTCTGAAATTGAGCAAATTTGGTAAACAAGGCATATAACTTTGACTATGATTACCAAATTGAAGTTCTATGAATATCAACTCCTTATGAATTCTTAATTCATGAAACTCACCACTTAAGTAGGGAGGAAATATTATTAGTTATATTTTTCTTTGATTATTATCTATAACTCTAATCTATTGTGTTACTTTAGTTCTATTTTTAGATCATGTGACACATGTGACGCAAGGTGTGTCTCATTGGATCATAGGGTAGATCCAATCATACCTCACGGGCATTTCTGATGAGTATTTACGTAAAATAACAAGTAATGCAAGAAAAATTCTTAAGCTATTCGGATGGGAATATGATACTATGACCCAGGAAAAAGTCAATGGAATAGGATGGCATATGATTAAACAAGTTACTTACAGTGCCGATACTATTTCAAGACTTAATATTGAAATCCAGTATATTATAGATCAAGTAATGAAGGCACAAGTTGGTATGATAGTATCAAAAACCGTGAACACTGTTCACGATCAGGAGTCGAAATCAACAGAAAACGAGATAAGTGTATCAGATATTGAAACCTCACCTAATAATATGACTCAAATCTCTATCCACGAAGTGACTGCTTCCAGTAATTCCTCTGATGTTGATAAAATAAGTAGAGAAGTCTCACGCAGTGAAGATGCTATTGCATCTAAATCTTTACAGGAGATGAGCAATGATCGAGGTTCCGACTATGAATACTATCTTGAAGATCCTTTCGATAACAGCGAAGATAACTCACTGAGTGAGGATGCTAATGCGTCTAAAGATGATGATGATGAAGGATATTATTATGATTTAAATACTGGTGAAACTTATCATTAGACAATCAACGCCTATTAATAGAATAAAACCTCATTTATGGAATAACTGGGAAGCTAGCACATCTGTGTTAAAGAGTATCCGCATCCGAGGTTTTTATATTAACTTTGCTAGCTCCGTTATTGATTTTAAGCACATGTCTTCGTGTAACTTAATTTTTACCACATAATCATTTGTGGGTCAATGCGTTAATCCCCTAAGCGATCTATTCACTCTTAGTCTGTAAAATGATTTACATGATTATTTTCGATTACGCAATGCAACGTCGAAACTAAAGAATAAACGTTATTAATGATCAAGGAAATGCTATTAATACCTGATTACGTTTTCTATCAAATTAAAAGATAATTCTGGAATCTTTTCCACTTCTACGTGAAATAAATGATGATGCAACGGAGGCAAAATATCATTAACATAATAAATGGGAAATATAACGAAATCGAACGAGTTCTAGAAACCTACCAATTCGAATCAATCAATGGATCTATAATAAAAAAATGATCGCCCGCCGAGACGCGATTCGGATAATCGACGCACTATACTTTATCACCCCTCTAGTTTTTGCAATTTTTTACACGAAAAAAAGTCAATAATCATAAATAAAGAAAAGTTCCTTGGACATTCCGGTAGTTATCATCATTCTCTTCTCTTATGTCGTCAATTGCTTGAAGGTATTAAGTATATTCGCCCAACAGTTCTTAGTACCTACGTGGCTAATACTCTTCCGGAGAATATATCTTACTTGCAGTTCCTGAGCTCCAACAGAGATATCTCTCCGTTTACGAAAAATTGGACTACTTTACACGGTTTATGGAGCCAACGGTTTCTACTAGAGATAGCACATTTGGGAGACGACTTGATAAATAATGTGAACATGTTTTTTTTAATTAAATTAGTGGAAGGGCAACTCTTGACAAGTAAATCTTGAATCCAGAGGGGTAAATCCCAGCCCAAGTGGTGGTAAGGCAGCTCTTGACACGTAAATCTTGGATAGAGTATTAAGTAAATCTTAGTCTTGCCATGCGCGACCCACTTTTCTTGCTCTTCATGCCTCTTATTATGATTTGAAACGACGATATACTGATGACATTATGTTTTCTTTGGAAGGTCAAGCTCGAAATTAGACATACATTACGCCTGCAAACGTTCTGGTCATCAATAATTCATCGGAGGAATCAGGTTCGTTGTTGGTAAATGCTCAGGTCCTGGGGAACTAATGATCATACAATGTTTAACGTTTTCACAATAGTTGTCCGTCAAGAGCACGCTTGATGATGAGTGTCTTAACCTGGTAGAAGTTGCAGGAAAATTTCAAATTCGAGGAATCGTAGCTCTGTACCCTGAGGCGTCATCGACAAGTGTGGACGAATGGAATATAGATGAAATTGAATCGCCATCAAAAAGATTCAAGGAGGATAAACTCAAACAGTCACATACTCCAGAAGATAAGGTAGCTGTATTTTCCATTGTATTTTTAATAATAACCCGCAACAAAAATGTTTTCTCACTCTCGGATGTGCACAGATCGGCACCGTCAGTTATGGAATGTTCCCGAATGAGAGCCTATCCACAACTTCTTTATATGTACCCTCTCCTGATTCAACTATTAGCGTAGAATTAATAAAAACCGAGAATCATAGTCACTATATAAGTTACCTCACTGGTCCTGGTATTCCTGAGTGGCATTGAGCAATGTAAGAGTTTTATTAGGGAAGTCCAGTTTCATTGCATTTTTCTGGAACCATGGCTGACCCAATATTAGTACAGATTCAAGTTCGGGTTTATTGGTAACGAAAGCATCACTAACTTCTACTCGCTCCCATTTTTTATTTTGAGACAAGACTGATATTTCCATTGCACAAATTATTCCCAATATATTGAGGTCGCCAATGGGACTGTATATTTCCGTATCGGAGGTATTATC